GAGCACCTCTCCTATGAGGGCAGGCTGAGAGAGTTGGGCTTGTTCAGCCTGGAGAAGAGAAGGCTGCAGGGAGACCTGATTGCAGCCTTTCAGTACTTAAAGGGAGCCTATAGGAAAGATGGGGACAATCTTTTTAGGAGAGACAGCAGTGACAGGACGAGGGGTAATGGTTTTAAACTAAAACAGGGTAGGTTTAGGCTAGATATAGGGAAGACATTCTTTACAATGAGGGTGGTGAAACACAGGAACGGGTTGCCCAGAGAGGTAATGGAGGCCCCATCCCTGGAAACATTCAAGACCAGGTTGGACAGGGCTCTGAGCAACCTGATCTAGTTAGTGGTGTCCCTGCTCGCTGCAGGGGGGTTGGACTAGATGACCTCTAGGGGTCCCTTCCAACCCAAAACTTTCTATGATTCTATGAAATTTCAGTGACCAGGTAAGCGCTAATCGCAGAAATGCAGAAACATGAAAAGGCTGCTTACCCACAGCCATACAGAAAGAAAAGGGGAAAATAAATGTAAAAAGACAGAAATATCCTATGCATATGATCACCACTCCTGTGAATACAAGTTTTCCTTGGGCTATTGAGTGGAGAGAACACGATGGAATCTCTACTCAAATTTCTACAACAGGAAGCAGAGACAACAGAATGTCATGTACTGCACTCATCTTCTGATCTTTTCTCAGGATCATCAAAAACAAGTACATGAAATCTTACATCTCAACTGAAAGAAAAAGCACATTATAAATGTCAGTTTCTGGAGGGTTATTTTTTACCCTGGGATTCCTAATTTCTTAGAAAGACTAGACCACCTACTCTGGAAACTGCTTTCACTAAGCATATATTTTTTCTGACACACTGCTATACCAACAAAAGCTTAACAAAAAAACTTAAACACATGGGATACTTTGTCTGCTGAACCAATACAAGCAGCATCAGCACAAGCACTTCATGATGACATAAACCAGTGACATATTAGGACTTTCCACGGTATGCAACCAAAACCATGTTATCCATTAGAGTTGTACAAATTCTTACACAGAATACACATCCCTACTCACTAGGAGTGAGTTAAACACAACCATCTGCAGAACAAGCATAGGCTGCCACTACTAATCTTTATTACCAAATAAACCCAAAGCAGATCACAATATTGTCCTAAAAGGAAAGAAATCTTCACAGAAATCTTGTACTTCCATTCATCACATAGTCTGAACTGCAATACCCATTCAATCCAGTAATTCAGAAGGTGACCAGTTCCAAGATGAGAGCAGCTCAACGGTGCCTTACTTAACAAACCACCTCAACATCAACAGCTCTGAATCCACACGCAACCAGTGTCTTTTTCTGTGTTGTAAAACCAACTGGACAGTCAGTTGTCTGATATTACTGTCATTCCTTGTATTCCTGAGCCGGATGAAGGATACCACTCACTTTTCCTTATCACACCTTACAAAAGACATTCCTAAGGTGAAACTGCCAATATAACTGTATACATAGATAATTTATGTCTGCTACAGATCTCTCAAAAATGAATCAGAAAACAAAACCACACTCAAACTAACAAAAATAGAATAAAAAACTTGGAATCTCATTATCATGCTGATACAGTAGCTAGCCATACGTAACATTTGATGACTGAGATCTTAATTATCTACCAGAAAAGCTGACAGAAAAAGGTACAGACTTGTATTTTTCCCCCTCCTTCTCCATCAAACTGTGAAGACTGGAAATCTACACGCACATTTGATTTCAGAAGCATTTTATAAACAAGCATTCAGGTACTTTAATTAAGTTACCAAGCATCTACAATGTGACACTTTTCTCCCTCTATCTTCCTAAACTTTCGTGCTATTATTTTTGCAGAATACTCTAACACTACTAATATTTTAAAAAGGTAGGAAAACTTTGCCTATCCTATTAGTTAGGGTTTCATTGTTGGCTTTTACTCCTACCATGGCAGTGCTTTTTGATTCACTATTGTGTGAGTTTTATGAAACAAAATTGCACTTGCTCTAAATCCAAATTACACAATAAAATAAGGAATTCATCAGATTGAAATAAGAAAGAAGTTAACTACAAGATGCTCTGCTCCTACCAAATTTAAAAGGAGGCCAGAAAAGTAGGTAGTGCTGCATCATTATGTATTATGTTTCTGACATTCAGAACTTCTTCTCCTCATTACTATTTTATTTTACTTTACTGTTCCTCTGAAATAACAAGCTTTCTAAAAGTACTTTCACATTCTCACATATAGAGCAGGCTGACGCATCTTCTATTTTGCATACAGAGCCCCAAGAGCAACCTACACAGCATGCCCTCGCTTTCACAGCAGTCCCATTTGGGAGGATTATTTACACAACTGCCAAGAGATGAGGCAGCAGTGGAGAGAAAGAGATGACTAACTTCCCTGATGCCCCCGAAAATCCATCCCCAGTTTTGGCACACAACCACCCTTGTCATCATCAGGATGACTGATGAAGTCTTGTTATTTTGTGAGAGCACAGCTGAGACATTTAAATCAGTACGACATTAGAAACATTTTAACAGACTTTCAGAAGGATGTTCTGAGGACTTGTGAGGAGAGTCACTTTGTTTGCAAAGCAAGTAAACTTATGCCAACACTTCTCTTCACCACAGGTGTCATGGAAGTTTGTGAACCATGCTGTTAGTGTCCCAAGAACACTTTGTGTAAGAGACATCTTCCGCAGGTGGAAAGGAGAAAGCTTGCCATTGTTTTCAGTGAGTTACCTTCCTCTGTACAGACTCCATGCAAGAGGCACCACTGTGCTGTATAAGAATACACACGGACAAGGAAAAAAATAAAAGCATAAAGCAAGAAGTATTCATAGGCATTTGTTGGACCGTCAGAAGCAGGCCACCAGGGCCACTCACAATTGATTTGAATGAACAGTAGTTCACAAAGCAGATTACACAGCTGATTGAGAACAGTTTTGAAACATCTGTTCTCTTTATTTAATTAAAGCGGGAACAAAACAAATCAAATCTAACAGTTCAGTCCAAAACTGATACAACATCTTTTACAACCACAGAAACGGAATTAAAGGTGCCAACCTGTATCCTGCTCTTAACTGTTCTCTTTTTCATCGCTCAAACTGGCTAATAAAAAGCTGCACACGCACCACTGTCTGTCTGGCACTGGTCTGCTTGCAACAGCAGCAGTCTGCTGTCAGTTGCTGTATTTTTAACGAATGCTCAGTTTTCACCGCTCCTTGAAAATGCTGTGTGCACCAAAGCCACAGGTACACAGACATTTGAACAGAATACTGCAGAAACACTCTAACCAATTCAAATTTAATCCTTCGTAAAAACCACTACACACAAGCTATTCTACCTCTTCCCAAACATTTACTACACTGTGTAACTCCAGAGTAATGACTGGGGACTATCATTAATAAACACCAGATAGGCTTCAAAGCTTGCCCCAGACCGATGATCTTCCTTCTCATTCCTGGTACACTGGTTCTGCTTCACGCTTCAGCTGTACAGTGTTCTGGTGACACTTGGCAAAAGTAACGAAGAAGGAACAAACAACACTTCCACACTCAAGAAGTTAAAGTAACTCTTTTTTCCTCCCCTACTCTGTGTCATTGTGAGTGTCACCAACTGTACGAGACCTGAACTGACATAGAAAGAGTCATCAGCGAAGCCAAGAACCAACTTCAGCAGACGCTCGTCCGCTTAAGGCCCGCGTGGACTGCCTCTGTGCGGACGGCTCCATTCTCTGGCGAGTCCCTTCCAACCATCGGTTTATTTCGTTTCTTATGAAGAAAACACATTAGGTGCTGGCAGCCCTAACAGAGCAGGCAAAAAGCACCGCAGATGAGGGGGAAACCCACCGTGCCCGCCATCTCTCACACCTCTGCGGCTGTCAACAGCCTGAGCTACGAAAGGCAAGGCGGGAGCAGAACACCCGGGCACCAGGGC